GTGTGTGTGTGTGTGTGTGTGTGTGTGTGTGTGTGTACACATCATTTCCATTTGTCTCACCTTTTTCCATCCTGCCTTTTCATTTTCGTCCACCCATGTTTTATTGGTTCTTGGTTGCAGTTTTTTGGCTTGCTGCGTGAAATAGCTTAATGTTGGGTGAAATGTGTGAGCACACAACTCAAGTTTCTGTGTTTCCCTTTGTTCTTTCTCATCTTCGGGACTCGACCCTCCTCTTTTACCTTTTGATATTTGGCCCCACGTGCGGCCAAGGAGGAGCTGGTGCTTGCTGCCCTGAGGCTAGAGGCTCTGCAAGTAGCCCAAAGCATCTCTCAGTGCCCCTCCCTCTCCACTGTAACTCCCCAGGTACTGCGCTGAGTCAGCCTGCACCTGCTGAACCGAGTGTGCGTCAGAGTGGCTGTGCTCGCAGGAGGCTTCTTTGAATGAGTCGTTTGGGGGGGGAAGTGATGGATGCGTGTGCAGCCGCGGAGTGAAGCGTGTGCACAAGTGTGGCTCGGCTTGTGGCTCGGTTCCTGCAGCACTTCGGCAGCTGTGGACCCATGCCCTTTTTCTACATGTTGGCTGCGTCACAACACCCACGATCCTCGTGTTCCCGAACATGATGTCTCTAACATGGCTTAATGCAACCAGCTCCCGCCCTGACACGCAACAAGCTCCGGGTTGATTCAGAAACTGATTATTTGTGCCTCCTGAGTACCTCACTTCTGTTATGCATGTATCCTGTGTGGCTGTCAATGTGACTGGGGATGTCACACAAAATAAATTAAACAAGCAGCTGAGGAGTTATACTCTGGTAGGACAGGGTTCCTGCATATCCTTAAAAAGTCTTAAAAGGCATTMAATTCAGCAATCCAAAAATAAGGCCTTAAACAGCCTTAAAATGTCTTAAATCAATCTTTCAGAAGTCTTAAAAATGTTAACACATTGGACATAGGATGATTGTAATTCATTTCAAATATTAAAATAATTGGTAAAAGTGTTTTTTTAAATATTCACATGCAGACATTCCCTTTTGACATCACTTCCTGTTATTTCACATGCAAATATCTCAACAACTGTCTATCTGAGCAATGAGAAATTTGTTTTGTAATATGTAAATGATGATGTCTTTCCAAAAATGCGTTCACTTTTCTTACAAAAAAGTGATGTCARAGGCACTTTAAGGTTTCATCTACAGCGAATTGGGGTTAGACCCCACTGTGGGTCCTAAAACTCCAAATTTTGGGTCGTTAGAGGATTTCCAGAAATTAAATGAAGTTTAAAACTGACTGCTAAGAATTTTTCTGCTATAAATGGATAAAAGCAATTGGTCMATCAGCAATATTTTAATACTTAAACAAAAAATACCTTAGTTTACGAGTTTCTGCTAGTTTGTTTTATTTGTGTTTATTATGAAATTGGTCTTAAATTTAATTTCACTTGGCATTAAAAAGTCTTAAAAGGTCTTAAATTTAACTTGCCTTAAACTGTAGGAACCCTGTATGAGCTTTTTCTTTTGTTACCACAAATTCCCAGTCACATTATAATTTTCAGATTTTTATTTTATTTTACTAAACTAATCGCACTAATGAACACCTTAATTTTATTATGAAAGCTTAATTACCAATTAGTTTTGGTGCCCTTTTAGAAGCAGAAGTTAAGAAACAAGGTTTTGGTGGAAAAAAAAAACAATTATAACTTTTTAATTAGGGTGAACACTCTCCGGTCCTCTGTCCTTCCTTTTGTCATGTTGCTGTCCTGCACGTTTTACAGTCTCGACTAAAGAAACCCATCACACGGCGATGGAATATCAATGGCTCACCTTTACTCAAAGTAAGAATAACATCATACCCCTGTGATCTGTTCCTATACACCTGTAGTACAGAGCTTGGTTGGTCATGCTGCACAGCAGATTGAAGAAGTGCCACAGAGTAGTTGTGATTTTGTCCCATTTTAGCTTATATTTCTAGTTTCTCCTTTTTGTAGTAACTGTATGTCAAACTACAGTAGATTGTATTTTATACATTGTTAAACCTTTGGTTTGAACTTGTGTCTTTAGTTCTAGCACCCCTTAAGAATTCACAATAAACCTAATTTAGTGAGGAGGTACTGTATGTGGAGTTTTTTTTGGATCTCTAGCACTGCTTCTTGTAGATTTTTTTAGTCTATCTAGAAACTGAATTAATTTTTTTCTTTTTTGCAAAAATCAAAGTAAAAGTTGCTTGAAGTCCATCCAACACAAGAAGTTTGTTATTATCTTATCTTAAAACTGTCTTACATACTATACTGTATATTCACTAATGCTTGAGCCAGACAAAATATTTGAATGCCTGTTTATGTTCTGTTTCTACACCACTATCCTCCTAATCTTAAAAAGCCTCCTAATTTTCATTAAATCCTCCTATAATCCAGCTCTTTCGAGGATGACTAAATCCTTCTCTGCGTATTTTTTTAGGGGACAGTGGTACCAGAACATTGATTTTAGCATTTTAATAACACGTTTCCCTCAAGCAGTTTGGCTATTTCTATCAGAGGTCACACAGCCTCACAGACAAAGTCTTAACAAAACTCGGGTTCAGCTCACATATTAGGTTTTGTGTACAATAAGTTGACATAAATCTCTTAAACTCTAAAGCATTACCAGTTCACTGTGTTGGAACTTCCCATAACATAAAACTAATAACACCCTTGCTGCCTGGTCCACTCCCTGTCTTCCGTGTCTTGTTAATTCCCTGCTGCCCCATTTTTTTATTTTTTATTTTACTTTGTCTTGCTTGGACCAACTCACACCCGAGCTACAAGCAGCGGGCGATCATGCTCGCTCAGCTGGGGCCAGCATCAGCCAATTACATGGCTTATACTGCTGCAATGAAGACTGTTTCATCCAATCATGTGGTGGCTGACCAAGTCTTCAGAAACATCACCAGCTTCCCTCATTTACACGCTGGTTTTGCTGTGTGGTACAGTTTGCAGTCCCGTGTTGCCTTGAGATCTGGTTTAGGGAATCCTGAAGAGAATGTTTGCATGAGCCTGAGGAAGAGGGACGCTTCATCCGAGACCCTGTCTGGTTTGTAACTGGTCATGTTTCCGTTCCTTTCTCTCCTCTCCATCGGTTCCTGGAAGCAGCACAAAGACATGTCGTTTCCGGTGGAAAACGTCGTGCCCAAGAGCTCACTGTACGCCAGGACCGCCACCATCGGCAGCTACATCGAAGGGGAGAGTCCTCACCTGCCTCGAGATCTGGACCAGTCCTTGGACATTGCACGAGAAGAGGTTTTTGTTTTTCTTTTTATTTCTGAGTCGTATAGTTTGGTGTGACATCTTCCGCTACATTTAACAACTTTGTCACCATTCATAGATCGTGACAAAAGAGAAAGAAGTGCTGGAGTGGCAGAGGAAGTATGAAGAAAGTCGACAGGAAGTGGTGGAGATGAGGTTAGAAGAGACACCTTGGGCTGATATCACTTTCATCACAGTCGGGTCCCACATCAGTCACTAAAGCGTGGATATAACACATAGGAGTGTTTCTGTTTCTGTTAATTAAATACACCAGGATGCTTACCTTAACCTGACAAATTATCACCTTTTAACGTTTCAGTTGGTTTGTCTCACTTAACCTGTCAAAGATGCAAAAACGAGAGAAATCAAAGATMTCCAAATGAGTCTGAGAATCAGCATGTAGACATGACTGATGTGCTTTTTGCAGTTACGACCAAATAAAAGTARGTTTGTGGGGGCTGCCATTGAAAGAGCTTTGGAAGCTTAAACACTGTGCATCCATGCAAATAATCATCAAAACAAGCGCCTTGGCTGTGAGATGTATGCTGTTACTTTTATTAGCATTTCAAGTCATCGTGGTGACGTCATTTGTAAATCCCAAATAAACTTACAGGGTTGCACAGAGAATGCTTCAAACTCTATAAAAACTTAACACTCTTTAAAAAAATCTCACGAACCACTAGGCTTAAAGGGGGGGTGGGAGTTTGCTAAGTAATTTTTTTTTTAGCTTTTCTGTACAGTATATCATGTTATAATGTCCCAGAGTGTTGCTTTGATTCATTCATGCATGCTTGAGGAATCCTTGAATCTCCTGTGGTAGCCATGTGTTGCCTTGCTGGTACAAAGCTCCACCCATGTGTGCAAAGCCCCACCTATTTGTGCAAAGCTCCGCCTATTTGTACAAAACTCCTCCCCGGAGCTCAGTCTGTAGCTGAGCTCCCGCCCCACAGATCTCCCCTCCCTCGAAGCATTGCTGTGACAATATGCTGAAGTGGGAGTGTCAGAAATGGTAGGAGGTTCTTAAAGAGACATTCAAGGCATTTATTTTTGATATCTACAGCATTTTATAACAGTTGAAGGTAACTTAATTATAGAATTGAAGTATGTACCTGGAAAATACATAATACCCCCCTTTAAATTATATAAACTCACTAATAATCATTGACAGATTAGTTTTTTGATTTGACACCACGTAAAATGGTCACCCACAGCTAACTTAACAAACACAACAATTCAACACACAAATTCAAATGATTTTTACAGATACTGAGGTAAAATTTGACATGGTAGTAACTGGCTGTAACCTCCAGCTATATCCTTAGTTTTAAGAGTTTGCTAAGTTAAATAATCCAAATGGCTACCACAGCTAATACAGTCATTTTTAGAGGTTTTGAGCTACAATTTGGTGCGGTAGTAATCAATAACTACAACACGTACTTGGCCTGCTAACAGCTCAACCCAACAGGTTTTTTCCCTTGTTTGTTTTAAACTGCTGTGATTTCCCCAAATTCATCGACAAACAATGTGCAGCAAATGACTTCAGGTCGCAGCTCAAACAGACCAAAGCAAGKGGGACTGAAACTGATTATCTGTCAGCAGGTGGTGGGTGTGAGTTCAGCTGGTTCACTTAYCGTGGATAAGACGGAGCTTACCTTCTTTAACTGATTGCGCTCTGGATAAGGAGGGGCTAAGAGACTAAGAGGGAGTCAAAGCCAATCAATCCTCTTACCTTATGCAACCRGTTTTAACCAAACAAATCCACACGGAGATCAATCACAGAGAAGAGTCCAGAGACTAAAGTTTGGACAAGTATCACAAATTAAATCAGAGTAAAACACTTTAAAATCACTGATAAATGAAATGTTTTGTGCTCCAAAAGAGAAAGTAATTATGACAGAATGATGAATCTCTTATTTCTCATCTGTAGGAGAATTGTTGCTGAATATGAGAAGACCATTGCTCAAATGATAGGTGAGTTCAGTCTTTTTTATTTTCTTATTTTACTACTTTTGCACATTTGTTTAGTATGAAATGAAAAAGCTTTTTTTTAATCCATTGCCTCTTTTCTTTAAACATATTGATTTTTTGTTGCAATGCTAGCTATTTTGCGTTAATTTTATTAATATAACTCTTAAAATCAATGGAGGATGAAACCCTGGCCTTTTTGAGCTCATTAAATTCCACTACGGCTTTACTCTGCATTACCCCTGCTCTCACCTACATTCACTCTGGCACCTGCAGACGCACACACTTATCAGAGCGGCGTCACAAGAGGGAGCAGCGTCCCTCCGCTCGTGTCTAAKCCTCGGCTCTCTCACATGTCTTGAACCCTCCCAGCTTGATTTAACACGCTCCCTTCTTTTCTGTTCTGCTCTCATCATTGCCCCTTTCTATTTGATAACCCTGACAGGCATGCCAGGTGAGTAACGCGGAGTTGTGCTTCACTTGTTTGTGTCCGCTCACATCTCTTCATCCGTCCATCAGAGCAGGGAGCGCATGCTCTCCTTTTTTTTTTTTTATATCATCTCGTCTGGTAACTTTTGTTGGTCCATTTCTGTTGCATTTCATCCTGCAGGCTTAGACATTGTTTTTGCTTCGCTTTATGGGTAAAAAACAAAAAACAGAAACTTTTCGTATTTTATTCAAACATCAGTATTCTTCACGTTCGGCTGCAAAGACGCATTGGAATCTGTTTTCCACCATCAGCTCCACCTTTTGACTAAAGGTTGTAGCTAAAACCACACAAGCTGCTTTAGTGACCGCCAAGTAGATTGTCGGTTGTAAGTTAATTAAAGGAACAAGAACAAGTTGGAGCCACCTGCCAGTTCTGCCTCTGGAACATTTAACTCTTTATTTTTACCTGCAGCCGAAGGCAAAGCGGCAATAATGTTTTTGCCTGTGTGTTCATTTGTCTGTGCCGTTAGCAAAACATTTCATGATCCAGCAGAGGGATTTGAATGAAATCATGGAATTATCCACTGGTGGGCATCAGTCCGCTAAAACGCAAATCCGCTAATTGCAGACTTGAATATTTCGTTTGCGCATTAGCGGTCTTACTAATATTTATAATTCATAAGTGGATTTGTGCTTTCTAAAATCAAAATGCAGTACCGCTATTAACTAATTAMCTACCAGTCATCATTATCTTGAACAGCGGAAGGTATGGCTGTCAATGAATCACAACACACATCATCTATCCAACAACACCCCTCCCAGATAAAAACACTTATTGGAAACGTATACGTCCTTGCTGACAGTTGCTCTCGGTCACTGTTCTCATTTCCCACAATGCTTTGTGTCTGCTTACGTAGCAGGAAGGCGATGTTTAGAACTCGCTTTCCCAGCAAAAACAGTAAATGTTTGTAATCCCTACTAAAATTTTGTATGAATTGATTTATTTTACTTTGTAATCGGAGCTCCTTTTATTAAAAAAATAAAGTTTAAACGCTGGAGCTCAATACTTGGCGTAATTGGTCAAAGCAATCCGCCAACGGGGTTAGACAGACATCTAGTGGTCAACTGGAGCAACTAGATGGAAAACTTTCATTTCCCGTCACAAATCAAATCCGTCATGTACCCAGAATGCATCGCTTCAGTTTTCCAATAAACAGTTTTAAAATTACGTTATTGATGCTTCTTTAATGAAAAATCTACAACAAACAAAAGAAAAAAGACAAAGAAGCAGACGAACTAGCAATCCTCAACAACTTTTTAATTTTTACACCAGGAGCCAAAGTTCTGTTTCATGAAATCACATCCCCAGCAATCGGCGGTTGTAGAATTAAGCTGTACAAGGGTTCATACGCTACTAGTTGACAGTGTTGTACATATATTGTACATGAATTGTTGCCAGCTAGTAAATGTCAAATTGAACTTGCGCTTTAAAATTAGCTTTCACTAATTTTTCTATGGCATAAGCGTTATTGAAGTTGCGGACCTAAACGTATTCATAAGCGCTTAAGAAATTGTGGAGCTAATTTTTGGGTTTAGCGCTGCCCACCACTGGAATTAACCCTATTCAAGATGGCTGCCACAACTAATCAACCTTAGCCAACACAAAAATGGCTGCAACTCAGTCAGTTTTACATATATTCTACTAATTTTGTTTAACACGTCATCTTGGGAGATCTCACAATATCACGTGATTAAACATTATGTAAAGTTGTCGATACGCATTCTGTGAAGGAATGCCTAATGTTCTCATTGTTCAACATTTGTGTTTGCATGAAAAAGAAAATATCATGTTCAGTAGAAAATATTAGCAGACCATAATAACCCACTAACCCATTTTGATTTGTCGACGTAAAAGTCAACGTTTTGTAGATGTTCATGTAGATCTTCAGACTCTCTTACGGCGGCAGCTTTAGCGAACAGAGCGGCGACTTACAAAATGTCTGTGTGTCCGCCAGAGGACGACCAGAAAGAGAAGTCTCTGTCCCACCACACCATCCAGCAGCTCATCCTGGAGAAGGACCAGGCGCTGGCGGACCTCAACTCGGTGGAAAAGTCTCTGGCAGACCTCTTCCGCCGTTACGAGAAGATGAAGGACGTGCTGGAGGGCTTCCGCAAGGTGACAGAGAAGCCGCAGTGCTGGTTAAAGGTTCGCTAACGGCAGGCGGCTTGACGTATTTCTCACTCCCCCTCAGAATGAAGACGTGTTGAAGAAGTGCGCTCAGGAGTATCTGTCGAGGGTACGGAAAGAGGAGCAGCGGTATCAAGCCTTGAAGATCCACGCAGAGGAGAAACTGGACAAGTGAGTTACGTGGTGTTTTTATAAATAAATACGCAACTTAAAGCCGCTGTGACATCAAAGTTTTGTAATAAAWATGAAAGGGGAATGTCTGACGTGAACAGAGCWRTGCTACAACAGCTAACAGCACAGACTGTAGAGAAGAATCTGATGATTTAGAATATTTTGAGTCGCTATCAGAGAGATGAAGTTCAAATTATATTATTTCAATAAGCAAAAAACAGAGTTTACCATCTTAAAAAGATCCCCTTTAAGGTCACTTCCTGTTTCACTTTGACTGCGCCYAATTCAAAAGAAAATATGCCAGTTAAGTGACAAAATGGCTAAACTCTCGTGTTTTATGCCCGATTTCTTAAATATAAAGATGTTTTCTTTGACTTTCATGTATTTGAAGGATATGCAGGTCACTTTAAGTTAAGTTGGTGTTTATCTGGACTAAGTTTGAAAATAGGTTAAAGTTAAACACTTTCTAGGGCCTGCCTTGTGCTTGTCTCTGTTACAGGTATTGAACTAAACTAAAAATGACCAAAACTAAAATTTTAGTTTAAACCTCTGGCATGTGAGATGGCGGAAGACGTGTTTCCCTACGAGGAATTCTAGTCCCCTTTTCACATTTATTTGGATAAATTCTGCTGTAGCTTTGCAGGATTCGTCTTTCTTTAGACCTTGTCTTCTCGAGAATCACAGGAGGACCTGACCGACTTTCTGTGTCTCCAGGGCCAACTCTGAGATCGCCCAGGTACGAGCCAAGTCCAAGCAGGAGCAGGCTGCCTACCAGGCCAGTCTGAGGAAGGAGCAGATGAAGGTGGACTCTTTGGAGCGCACTTTGGAGCAAAAGGTCGGTTGTGGGATTTTCTTTAAAATATATATACAGTATATATTAAAAAACAGTTGCTTATATGTACAGTAGTTGCTGTACCAAACGATTATTTTCCAATCGATTAATCTAACGATTATTTTTTCGATTAATCGATTATTCTAACAACAAATCTA